GAAGTCTTATTACATGAAGAAATGAACAAAAGAGTCGCAAACATGCCTAAGCAAAAAGGTTCAAACATCCTAGCTTCTCTTTAGTCGCTTTCAAATTTGACTTCAACATCTTCAACTGTTCAGCCACTTCTTCATCCAATGGTGGAGCATTGCTGATGACAAGGATCTCCTCTTGAGTTAATTTCACCTTGGCCTTGGCACTATCGAGTGACTCTTGTTGCTGCTTCAATGTCTGGGATAATGTTTCTGCCTTTGTCTTCAACTGCTCAAGCTCTTCCATGACTCGCTTTAGCTCAGCCTGAGTGGACTTCACTTGATTTGATTCAATATCCTCCTTCGTCTTATGTTCACGAAGACGGTCTTTAGCTTCAGCCAACTGTCGAGCAATATGTTCCTTCGTTGCCTTCTCTGAAGATTTCGACCGTACTCCGTCATAAGAGTCGGCGTTGTCAAACAAGACCTTCAACGGGCTCTCGATGGTGGAAAAGTTGAACTTGTCACATTTCTTCATGGCATTGAAAACAAGTGATACGTCTTCTTTTATGGAAGACAAGGAGTCGATAGAAGTCGCCATGACCTTGTCACGGAGGTCGTACCACATGCCTTGAAGATATTTTTTTTGGCGGTCAAGAAGGAACTTCTCCCCTTTGAACTCTGAAATGGCTGGAGTATGAAGCTTTTGTTCAGCAGTAGGTTTTTTGGCACACGTTGGAGCATTTGTTGCAGAAGTCCCTTCATCGTCTTGCGACTCTTCGTCATCGTCAGAATCAAAGACATCCCGTCGCGCCTTAAAAACAACAATGAAATACATATATCAATTAGAAAGAGAACTCGAGATAGAAGTAAAAAAGAAGAGAGAGAAAACCTTAGCAATGAGGTCCTCTGTCTCGTGTTGATTCTCTACCGCTTTCTCAACATGCTGTTGGGAACCAGATTGTTGTTTTGCTCTCTTCCAATGTTGATCTGCATTGTTGTTCTCTTCTAAAGAGGTGGACCTACTCTTTCTCTTGTTGGTCTCAGGAATTCTGGCAAGAAGCGCCTCATGATCTCCACTTGTAGAATCACCCTGGTCAACAACTGTCTCTTTGCCTCTCGAAGATATCATGTTCGGCTTTGATGCAAGCAAATCCTCTATATGGCGCTCAAGATAGCCTCCATGAACTTGATGCCACCATGACTTATAAGCTGGTGTTGATTTCTTTGCATTTGTTGAGGCACAAGGTAACGAAGCTTTGGAAAAGGATCCGCATAGAACGCTCTGTTGCCAGTAGTAAATTCCATCGTCAAGAGAGCCCTCGCGAAAGTCTTTTTTCAAAGTGTCGGGAACATCTTGATAAAACCCAAATTGGCGACTGAATTGATGAGG